TATAAAAATTATGTATATAAATTGATTTTTAATTTATAGAATAATCTTGATCTATTTTACCTTATTTTTGTAATATAACTATTTATTGAGAAATTTATGGAAACAAACAATATAAATATATTAACCTCCTTTTTTGCTTCCTCCGTAATTATCCAATACCTCGAAAGCCCTCGTCGTTTTATAAAATTTGTAGTCATCTTTTATGAAATGTAAATTTTTTGGTGTGTTCAATATGAATCTCGTGGTGACTCAGACCCAAACCCTCAAGGGTAGAGCTGGGCTCATTGTCCCTTTGTGGTTGATCATGGGCCAAGTGGCCATTTCCATTTCATGGAACTGAATTGAATTAGAAGGCAGGTGATAAACACATCCTCCATTTTTATATAAATACATCCTTTTTATTTTATTTTAAATATATAAAATTTTTAAATTATCTTTATTTGCACTTCTCTTCTTTTTTTCTCCGTGCACCACTCTTCTTCTTCCTCCTGTGCACGCACACCTTCTCGTTAGGGTTTACGCTTCCTCAATCCTCGATCCTCAATGGGGGTTCTCGTTCCGCTCTTCTTCTACGTCGCCGCTTTCTTCTGCACCATTGCAGCTATCGCTTTGGCCGTTCTTCACATCTACAGGCACCTTCTCAATTACACTGAGCCCACCTACCAGCGCTTCATCGTTCGGATTATTTTCATGGTCCCGGTCAATCACTTTTTCATTTCACCGCTTTCACTAGGGTTTTTACTAATTCCACTTTATTACCTGTCATAAATCCAATTGCTTTACTTCAGACCACTTTTCAACTTCTCCACTTTCATCATCTTAATCTTAAAAAGTGGAAATTTAGCTATTAGGAAGAGTTTTCATGGGAAATGATATGCCGTGCAAAACAGTTGGTATAGGTACAGTCCAACTCAGGATGCATGATGGAGTGATCAGAACTCTTACAGAAGTAAGACATGTACCAGATCTGAAAAAGAATCTTATCTCTGTTGGAGTTCTAGATTCTAAAGGCTTTAAGTGCAATGTTAAAAATGGGGTAATGGAGATCAAGAGGGGGGTCTACAGTTGTGATGAGAGGTTTTAAGAAGGGAAATCTCTATATGCTTCAAGGATCAACTAGTTCTATATCAGAATCTGTTTCTGTTGCTAAAAAGAACATACATGATCTCACCTACCTATGGCACATGAGACTTGGTCACATGAGTGAAAGGGGAATGATGATTCTAAGCAGGCAACAATTGCTTGGAAATCATACTGTCAAAGAACTCAGATTCTATGAGCAATGTGTTTTTGGTAAACAGCACAGAATCAAGTTTCCAAAAGCTCAACATTCAACCAAATCTACTTTGGATTACATTCACTCAGACTGCCGGGGACCTTCTCAAGTACCTTCGCTTGGAGGAGGCAGGTATTTTCTCTCAATCATAGACAACTACTCAAGGATGACTTGGATATTCATTATGAAGCACAAAAATCAAGCTTTTAGATGCTTTAAGGAATGGAAGATTTTGATGGAAAAACAAACAAGTAAAAGGGTCAAAAGATTGAGGACCGATAATGGTCTAGAATTCTGCACAAAAGAATTCAATGACTTCTGCAAGGCTGAAGGTATTGCTAGAGATCGGTGAATTATCTCTTCTTTCTGTTATTATTCTCCTTTCTCCTGTTGCAGCACCTTCCAATATTCTTGATTGATTCCGTATTGATTGTTAAAATTGATTCAATTCATTCCAAGTGTTCATTGTATTGTGTTGTTAGATTCAATAAAATAGATGCAATAATTGAGTTGTTTCATTGGTGCTTTCATTGTCATCAATGGCTGAGAATACGCGGTTGAAAGATTTACAAGTGCAAGTGGCAAATCAAGGTGAAGAACTTAGGTGATTGATAAGTTTGATTGAGTTACGTGATCAATCACAGCGGGATAGAGATGTGGCACAGCGAGAATTGACGTCTCAATTGCAAGTTGCTGCACAGGATCGTATGGATCAAATGTAGAAAGCTATAGATCAGTTAATTCAGAATCAGTCTCAGTCGATTGGTGTTTCGAGCTCAAATCATGATTCCGTTAACTCGTTTCGTACTCCATCTTTTCGTGTTCGAGATATATCGTTGGGATTCCCACATTTTGATGGCAATACACCGGTGTTAGAATGGATATTCAAAGCTGAGAAGTTCTTTAATTACCATAAGACTCCAGATACATATCAAGTTGACATTGCGGCTATTCATTTTGAGAAGGAGGTTGTTCCATGGTTTCAGATGTTGCAGAAGTTGAATGCTATTCATTTAAAGAAAGATTCTTTTAAATGGTCTACGGATGCTACCACAGCTTTTGAGAAGTTGAAAGAAGTGATGATTTCAGTCCCTGTTTTAGCAATTCCTATTTTACAGAGCCTTTTATTTTGGACACTGATGCATCTGAGGTAGGCATTGGAGTTGTGTTGAGTCAAGGGTAGCACCCAATAGCTTATTTTTCTAAGAAGTTATCTCCAAGGATGTAAAAGCCATCAGCTTATGTTAGGGAATTTCATGCTATCATTGAATCATTGGCAAAATTCAGGCACTATTTGTTGTGCCATAAGTTCATTATTAGGACAGATCAAAGGAGCTTAAAAGAGTTGCTTGAGCAAAAATTACAAACTCCAGAACAGCAACAGTGGTTGCCAAAGTTTTTGGAATATGATTTTTCTATACAATACAAGCCAGGAAGAGAAAACATACCTGCTGATGCTTTGTCTAGAAGTTTATTAATGGCTTGGTCTGAATCTACGAATAATTGGTTAAAGCAAGTATCTGAAGCAATACAGCAAGATGATAAGGTCATGGGGATATACAATCAGTGTTTACAGGGCATTAATCAGGATCCGGCCTATGTGGTGAAAGATGGGTTGTTGTTCTGGAAAGGCAGGCTCGTAATACCTGAAAAGGAGGTTGTTAAAATTCATATTTTGAATGAGTTTCAATGTTTCATGCTTCGAAGATAGGAGGAGATGTTGATGTGACTAAGACAATTTTCCGAATTTGCTCTCAGTTTGTTTGGCCTAAAATGCAACAGGAAATTCGAAGATTTATCAAAAATTGTAGCAATTGTCAACAGGCTAAGGTTGACCATACTTTACCTTCGGGGTTGCTTCAACCTCTTCCTATTCCGCAACAGATATGGGAGGATTGGCAGCAGCAACTTGGGAAGATATGGAGAGTATCAAATCGAGTTATCCAAGTTTCAACCTTGAGGACAAGGTTGATGTTAAAGGGAAGGGTATTGTAACATGTGAAGGAAGCACAGAAAAGGAAGTTAGTTAGTCATTGGTAACTGAATTAGTTACATCGGCTGGACACATGGCAGCACCAGAAAATGGGGAGTTAAGGAGAACCAATAGGAAGAGAAAGAAAAATGTGTATTTAGCTGATTTCATGCAATGAGGAGGAAGTTAGTTAGTCAGTGATGTTTTCTCTCTTTCTGTATGCTTTCTCTCTGTAATTCATTCTGCTTCTTGAATTCTTTTGGATATTCTTGATTGATTCCGTATTGATTGTTAAAACTGATTCAATTCATTCCAAGTGTTCATTGTATTGTGTTGTTAGATTCAATAAAACAGACTCAGTAATTGAGTTGTTTCAGTAACTGTTAAAAGTAAATGTGTTTACAGTGACATGACACAATTAAATGATATAATTGATTGTCAGTATAAAAAGACTTTATACTGATAATGTATAGGTGATTAATTCAAAAAGATAATTAATAATTATCGATGTAACATAACCTGTCCATTTTATTCATATTTCATAGTGTTTTGGTAGAATGCCCAATTTATTCACAATCAGCAAGATACACAGTACCAAATGGTGTAATAACAGTAATTTATTCACATTATGCAATTTGGTAGAAAGTACCAAATGCTAACTGAGTCTCCTACAAACATAGGATTGACAAAACCAATATTTGTGTTTTTTCATAAAGTATGCCACATTCCATTACAAAATATTAATCCAAGTGGGAGGAAAAAATTTAAGTGAGGAGCTAATTGTTCATGCTTTCTAACATGGAGACCACAGCTATAGAAATATGTTCTGTCTATGTACTCCTTTCACAAAATTATGAAACATTGCATATACGTTATATTTTTTCTTAATAAAAAATAAGATAATTTGTTTAATTAAAAGTGACAACTATCAAAGAAGTAGGTATGACGGGAATATTCTAAAAACAATCAATTAAAAAAATAAAACTTCAAAATATCTTGTTTCTATTAAGAAACAATGACATATTTAATTTAATTCAAAAATAAAATAAAAATGGTTTTCTTATTCTAAATTGTGTTGTTAATCATACAAAAATTTATAAAACATTTTATACAATCATTTTTGTATTTATCTCTCCATTGTATTTTTTTTTTTTTAATCTCATATTCTCTCGGTTAGTATACAAATAACATTTCTCTTCTAATTTAAAATGCATAATTAAGTTACTTTCTCAACCTTCTTAATTAAACATTTTTTACATTTCGTTTCATTTCTTTTTTAGACAAATATTTTAGATACTACTTCTACAAGTACTTAGAATTTTCGGTCAACCATCTCAAATATGTTTTTTTTTTTAAATTATTTTTTTATTATCTTTATGTATATACTTAGTTTCTTAATTTCTTATCCATTTTAGTCTACCATTTTTATCACATTCTCTAAATTAAATTTTAACGATTTAAAAAATCTAATACTAAAAAATAGTTTTATATCATAATATAAAATATTATTTTTTATTAATTTAAAATATAATATATATATTTATCTATAATTTTAAATAAAAAATATTAAAAATTAATTATCCTTACAAATATAATATTCAAATTTGAAACTTTAAAATATAAAAATTAAACATAATGATAATATTAATTAATCTAATATATATTTATAATTTTTAAATATTTTTATTAAATAAATTACAAAAATACGAAATGTTTTATCTCGTATATTATATTTATAAAAAAAATTATGATGCATAAACAAGTTAGCATGATAGTTCTGAAAGGACCTTCAAGACTCGAACATATAACTCCATTGAACGAGAAACTCAAATTCGGAATCTAAGCAAATTGTGCAAAAGTAGCAGAAACTCCCTCGCTTTGAAGATTCAAACTTCGAAGTACTCTCTCTTCGTCTTTCAGCTTTCCACAAACCTAACTCGCTCTCTCCTTCTCTTGTTTTGGCTTAAATTTCGTTCCTTCATTTGCATGTGGCTAATATTTATGATCATTTAATATTTGCTCTGTGTTTCGATTCTTTAGTTGCTTAAGATTGGAGATATTTAGAGTCGTGTGCTCTGTGTAAGTAATGTAATAGTTTCTGTTGCTTGCACCCCATGTGTTTGATAATATGCGTGCAGTGCCCAAAGCTTCATTCTTAGTTTTGCGATTTCTTTTCTTGTTCTGTTTTGCTTGCCAGTTGTTGGATGTGTCCATGGATTTGAACTGATATGTAATTGCTTCCTCACATTTCTGACCCCCTATAAAACGTGGATACTGCTATTGCCTCTAATTAGTTAGTGTGTCTATAAGTTGTTTGTTATATGGCTTAGGAGGACTGAAGGGCAATTAGTTTTTTCTTTGCTAGATAGATATTGGGTTAAATATGCTTTTGTTTCATCTAAGTATTGTTTTTTTTTTTTTTTTTTTTTTTTTTTTTTTTTTTCTTTTGGTCTCTTGTTTTTGAAAATAGTTGTAATCTAGTCTAGGTAAAAGATATTCCTTCGCATATAGTCCTTTTGTAAGAAACACTTCTCGAGGGTTAAAGCTTCCCTTATCTTGGACAAAAGCTTCCCTTTGCACATGAGTTTAGTCCCCTTTTGTGTTTGAAATTGGAAGGCTTCAACTCCTGATGGTATGGTTTAGATTAACTTTATGGTTTTGATAGAAATTGAAATTCAAAGGAAACTCATTTAGTCATTTAATATTTAATTATGACTTTGAGCCTTCAAATTAATTCCACTTATTTTTGGTTAATAAATTGGTTTGATTTCCTTTGTTACATTTTCTACGACACAATTTTTATGATGTTTGCTATTTGCTCACATGGTCTTTGAAAAATTTTTGTTGACACATGTTGCAGCCCATTGGGTGGACCCACATAAACATGTACTCTTTGCTTCCTCAGGTTTAAAGTGGCATATTATAAAGAATTGATGCAGAATGGCTGCAACCAGGGCTCGAGTTAGTAGCTTCTCTCGCAATGTATCAACTGCAACATCTCAGAATCCTGGACTTAAGCATGGCCCTAATGGGACTATGTTCATTTCATCTGGGATTCCAGATTTGGACAGTAATTATATCTGACTTCCTTTCAATAGGCCATGTAGTAAATGAATGAGTTATATTTAATTGATTCATGTGTAGTGTCTTTTCATATAAGATTCTCATTTTTTTTTTCTTTCAAATAGAGATCTTAGGTGGTGGATTTTCTCTGGGTAGCCTTGTCATGGTTATGGAAGATGCAGAAGCACCACATCATATGCTTATATTGAGAAATTTTATGTCTCAAGGGCTTGTGCAAAAACAGCCACTCTTGTATGCTAGTGCATCTAGAGAGCCTAAAAGATTTCTTGGTACTTTGCCTAGTCCAGCGTCACTCAAAGGAGATAAATCTTCAGATCTTAGCCATGTACTTGTGTTCATCCTTTGCACTTTGTAATATGCACAGGACTTTTTTTTTTTATAATTTTTTTATGGTAATATGATTTATTTATTGCCCTTATAATTACAGGAAAAAGATCTAAGAATTGCTTGGCAATACAAGAAGTACTTTGGTGAGCCTCAGCTAAATCTCAACACTAATAATGGTAAGTTTGTCTATACTCTTCTCTCCATGATTTGCTCTTCAATTATCATTGAGTTGAGGAATCGGCCTCCTGCAAATCAAACCATAGTGTATAGACACATGGGTCTGACCCTTGCCTGGGCCTCACCATAGTGGGACCTTTGTAGCACAGGGCTTCCCAAATGAGTATAATAAATTATACTTTTCAGTAGTTCTGTATAATCACATTGTTTTTTAAAGAAAAATGATTAAAAATATTGTTCTTGGAAGTACAGACACTTCTAAATAGTAATCATGTTGTGTCATAGAAAGTGGTGCTGTTACTGCTGTACATGTATTCATCACAAGTACCACACAAACATTTTGAATACTTCTAGCTATATTTTATAAGTTTGTACCTTCTTTCTTTATAACTTTTATGCCAATATAAATTGGAATCCCACAATAATTAGATGAAATTTAGAATTTTATTGTGTCTAAAATCGTTCTGTTTTTTAAAGCATGAAATCTCTATCGTGATTTAAGATTTTTGATTTTGTTAATTTAAGATTAATTTTATACCTTGTATTATAGCCATGTTATGTCTTATTATTTTTAAATCTTGTCATATTCGTGTATATATATTGTATCATATCTGTATCCCATGTTGTATCCTTTTTTCTTAGATGTTGATGTGCATTTGTGATCGATTTTTATGATGTCATATGGAAAGAGAACAATTTGCATATTAGTGAATATGTTAAATCATGCAGTGTATTACGTTGCAGGTGGTCAGCATGATTATTGTAATGATTTTGACTTGAGAAAGCCACTGGACCGGCAATTTTTTAGTGGCAGCAATGTAGATTGTGTTAGCATCAACGATTCTCCAAACCTTACTGCTCTTCAAGATCACTGTGCTGGATTTCTAGCTAAATTCTCAAGGTGTAGTGATCTATAACTGTTTTAAAAATGTATTCTTAGAGATACACCTGTTTGAGTCAGGTTTTTCTGAATAGAATATAATAAAATGAGATTAAATAGGATAAGGTTTGCTGTTTGGACTTTGGAGTTGATCGTAGGTTTATAATGCTCTTTCTAAACAAAATTTAACAAAATCTTTGATAGATATTTTTTTAAGCATGTGCAATTTAAGATTTGATTTTTGATAGAATACTAAAATGGTGTCATTTGACCAATGTAACCATCTTCATCCAGTGGGAATGAGCTTTAATTGTTGTTGTATGCAATTTAGGATTTATAACATTTCACTCTATTTTTAGTACTTATGTCTTGCAATACTTGGCACTTCATTGTTATGATTGCTGGTCTTACATAGCTAGCTGTAAGGTAGTATTTCCTATTTTGATGGGCACTGCATGATCATAAATACAATATGGGTTTATGCATCTGGGAAGCCATGACTATTTGCAAATTCACACAATTGTCATAATTGGCTATGAAAAATATATTTTGATCACTACACCAGGAACTCCTCCAATCTCATTCTTTTGAATGTTGCAGTAAAAGGGATGGTTAGTGTTGCACTATTGGTAATTTTTAAACTATATCTGCTGCTGATTCTGGATCCTTGCATTAGATACATGGACACATGATCAAGATGTAAAAGGCAATTAGAGTTGGACAGTTTCTACAGAGGCTTTCTTAATTCCTTCTGAATTTCTTGTTTTGCATCAATTAGATTGTGATAAATGACTATTTTGTTGTTTCTTATTTTACTTTCGTAAAAAGTATTTTTCTTTCTATCTACTTTTTTATTTTCAAACATCACGGATGAAATCTACAGAAATGAAGGCAGCATTCCCTCTGCTGGTCGTATTGCAATTCAATCATTCTGTTCTCCACAATGCAAGTATTCAAATGAGGTGTGTTAATATATTTTTTGTTTGTTTTTTCCTAATCATTTTGAAATTTTATCCTGTGGCTTTAAACTATACACACTTGTTTTTTATAATGATTTTTATAAACCCTTCCCTCTATAGGAATTAGGAAAGCATTTACGGATTTACCTGCTTGCAGATCCAGTGATCGTTGTTGAATCTCAGCTATATACTGTTATTTATTCTATCAATATTTAATATTTTTCTAATTTGAAATGTGTTAATGCGACACTTTATTATTGTAGGAGTGGCATATGCTTTCCTTTATTAGGTCCCTAAAGGGCATGGTCCGGTCTTCAAACGCTGTTGTTGTTGTAACCTTTCCACCTTCACTTCTTTCTCCATCTTGCTCAAAAAGATTGCAGCATATGGCAGACACCTTGCTTTCTGTCAAAGCCATTCCAGGTTCATAGTCCACTCTCACGTCTTATATTTCATGTGTTTACTTATGAATTACCTCAAGTTTCACTATTACACTATATTTGTTTCAGATGAAGACAAGGAACTGGCAAAACTCCTCACTGGTTACCAGGATATGATTGGGCTTTTAAATGTACACAAAGTTGCACGGTTAAATACACAGGTTATATTCATACTTCATTTTGATTCATCTACTAGGGGTATTAAACTTCTGGTTTACTCCTTTTGTGCACCTCTAGTTCACAATTACATCCTTTTACCCCATTGTATACCCCTTTTTGGTATGCTTGTACACTCTACCTATCTTCCTTTCTCTCATGCAGTCCTAGCACATGCATTTATGGCGCTTGCAAACACAAAAATGCTTAAGCAATAACCTTCGGCATTTCATGCATATTTTTGTTTGAATTCTCATAAAAGACGGGTGTACGTTCATCATTTCTCATCAATTTCACTAAAATGTAGAAGCTTGTGCTAGCTGCTTCCAAATTGGCGTGGATCTAGTGTGTCCGAGAATTTGAATCAAACACACAATAAGTCAATAATTTGTTTGATAACTGATTTTGATGTTGTACATGCTACTTTTTTGTAAAGTTCAACACTAAAGCTAATTAATAAAAATTATTGGAGGAAAAATGCAATTCTAGAAGCTACATTTTTCTTTCATTTTGACATATCTGACCTAGCTTTTGTCAACTGTCTGTTTTTCAACATGCAGGTTCCTGTGATTCTGGAGGCCACAACATTCTCACTAAAATTACACAAACGGAGGTTTTTGGTTTTAGAATGTCTAAATCAAGCCCCAGTTGACGGTTCAAGTGGGAGCTCATATGGCACATCTGGTGGTTGTTCTGGGTCAACTAAAACTGGACCACTTGATTTTTAGATTATACCTTATTTATAACTGAAGATTTAGCAATAGTGAGTCAAGCTCGATATTTTTCTTAGTGCTTGAAATGCAGTCTTCTAAATTTTGTTACCCCTTTGTCCTTTTGATAATCAACTGGTTTCACTATTGGTTCATCTGCAATGTACAGATATTTTCTTTAAAAGACAGTGTAACAGTGAGACCCTCGGCATGGAAGGAGTTATACCTTCCGGTTATGCCAAAAAAAAAAAAAAGAAAAAAAAGACGAGATCCTGAAGAATTTTGTCTGGTTGCACAACCATGTGACACATAACACTAAAGGACAATTTAACATTTGTAGTTCAGGGTTGTCGTGCCATGGTGAATGGGAATCTGGACTACCTGGTATTAAGTTTCCATATAAGGTGTATGTGTATATGATCCACTGGATAAATCCTTATATTTGGTGCAATTTGACGAGTTGGCCACACTCAATTGTACACATGCCCATGTATACATGTGCAATAAGTATTATCTGATGCTCCCTTGTATAAACATGTCATTATTTACCCCTATGTAGCTCTGTTTAACAACTCGAGACAAATTTTTGCTTGTCGCAAGCTGAGTGGAAAGGAACCTAACTTTTACGTGCTTGATTTGTGATTTTTTTAAAGAATAATAAAGAATTCATTAATTTATTACCGACACTCGAAAAAAATATTAGTTCAAATTACCAATTTGAACATGTGAAAAATATAAATTTTCTTAAATCACAAATTTGAGCTGTAACTTACCGGGACTAAAATATTGTTAGTCAACACATACGAGGAGATAAATCATCTTATTGCTTACTAGATAGTCTTGAATTTTCAATTCTCTAGAGATTTTGATTAACAAAGAGGATGTTTATTACATAATCCATCATAACATTTTATAGAACATTCATACGGTTAGCAACCCGAGCCAAATTAAACAACAATTGATATGTATGGCAAATGTCTTCCGATGCTTATTTTTACTTAAGAGGCACCAAGTCGCTTGCCATTTGAATTATCAGGTGATTGTAAGGAAAAAGGTACAAATTTTGATGATAGCATGTCTATCTAACAAAATCATAGTATAGATAGAAAACCCGATTTTCAAGTTGAGAAACAATAAATCCAGTTAACCAGTTATCTCCGAACAATATTTGGGCAGACAAAAGTAGGATCACTTCAGACAAACGTGGGGACGTGGTCTGATAGCCATCATAAATGCATCCACCATCTGAAAGAAATGTGAAGAAAGCTAATATGTAATCTTTACATCATATACGTAATGTTGCAGAGATGACGTAGAGAAAAAAATAACCAATTTGATCTTTCCTTAATATTTCAGCAAAACTTTAGATAATGTGATTAACAAGTGAAATGACAACTTAGTTTCCCTGTCTTATTATTTCACTCTTGCAGTATAGTCATCTATGCAAAACATTTTATTAGTATCAGAGAGAAAATTTCAAAGCCTATATATAATATTCATTGTTTCTGAAAACGAGTTTCATGAAAATCTGTTGATTAGAGAGCATGACCCCTTTGAGTATGTACTTGTATGAGATGATCTCGACATATTCATTAACCCAAACAACACTGTTAAAGACACAATTAGACTAGTTACTCTATTCTTCTGTACCAGACTTGTCCTGAGTCAGCTACCACACAGCAGTTGTTAGGTAATTAAGAAGTTACATAGTTGCATAGTTATTTTTGTCCTCAATTATCAGTTTATAAATGTATATCTGATCTGTATTGATAACTACACATTATGTATTAGCAAAGAGAAAGCGACTCAAGAAGCCAACTAATAGCTCAACTATAGTAACCAAAAAATTAACTATGCAGAGAAGAAATGGACCATACCTGCACTGGTGGAAAACTAGATTTTCCAATATGATCTTCCCCAGTGAAACCAAAGATGCCAACCTCTAACATGTTCTTGTAGAAGGAACTGGAAAGGAAAATTATCCTCAGGACAGAAAATTTGTTTTTTATTAAAAAAAAATAAAGTTAAGAGTATCGGTACAAGAGATTGGAAAATTTCTCAAGCAACATTTTATTTCAGAACAGAAAAAATTCACTCTATTTATTTTCAAATTATGATGCGTAATAGAAATACAAATTAATTTAAAGAGACATTCATGATTTTTAAATATGAGATCCAAAACCATTAATAAGGCCCACACATTTCCGGTTGTTGAACTTGAATTTTTTATAGGAAAGATCATCTTGTAAAGAAATTCTGTAAAACGGTTTGCAAGAATCGGAGAACTCTTAAATGGATAAGAGAAAAACATCCGTGAGATTTAACTAATTTTATTAACGCCAAATTTCTAATAATGTATAAATACACATTGTTATAAAACCCCTGAATCTTTGACTAACAAAAGATTTTACAAAATCAACGCATACAACAAGAAAGAAACATATGAGTGGTCCTCACCGTAAATAAAAACAAAATGTGGACCTCTGAGACTCTAAGCATGCAACAAACCAACAAAATGGGATTTTCCTTCCTTATCTGTTTGCTACAAATAACAACCACAACCACATGAACAAATCAAACACAAATGCTTCATTCTTTGTCTCTCCTACTCCCTTGTTGAACCAACTTGATCACTAATCTTGTGCACAATTGGATGAAGAGGCTGCAATGGAAACTTAGGCTCTTGCAAGAGAATGGTGTGTATTCGGGGAAAGAAATGATAGTGGACATGCAAAAGCTAAAGGGTTAAACTAAGATGGTTACAACTAAGTGCAACATCTCTGGTGCTCCTCCTTCACTCCTTCCAATCTCAATTCACAGGTACCAAAACTCAAATCAGTATCACTCCCCCAATTTGAAATTCACACAACACCAACCAAAACCAAATGTGTCTTACGTTCAACATGAACTGCACATCAACCTCAATGCAACACAACAACTCCATTGCCACTTCATCAAAACCAGTTCCAATTGCAGTTACCAAGTCCCCTTTGCTGCACTTGAATCCTACTCTAGCAATGCAGCAATGCATAGCTTCCTAATAACATCTTACATCAAGAACAACTGCCCTCAAGACGCAATGAAAATCTATGGCTATATGCGTAGAACAGACACTGAAGTGGACAATTTTATCATACCATCGGTTCTCAAAGCATGCTGTCTTCTCCCTTCATTGCTGCTAGGACAAGAGGTGCATGGTTTTGTGGTGAAAAATGGATTTCAAGAGGATGTTTTTGTGTGTAATGCTTTAATCATGATGTACAGTGAGGTAGGAAGCTTGGAATCGGCACGGCTATTGTTTGATAAGATTGAGAACAAGGATGCTGTTTCTTGGAGTACTATGATAAGGAGCTATGATAGAAGTGGGTTGGTTGATGAAGCATTGAACCTCTTGAGAGATATGCATGTTATGGGAGCGAAGCCCAGTGAAATTGCAATGATAAGCATCACACATGTCTTTGCACAACTTGCTGATTTGAAATTGGGGAAAGCCATGCATGCTTATGTGACAAGGAATGGGAAGTATGGAAAATCAGGAGTTCCTTTGAGTACTGCTTTGATAGATATGTATGCTAAATGTGAAAATTTAGCTTATGCAAGAAGGCTTTTTGATGGCTTGTATGAGGCTAGTATCATTTCATGGACTGCTATGATTGCAGCCTACATTCATTGCAATAATTTGAATGAAGGTGTGAGATTGTTTGTAAAAATGCTTGGAGAGGGTGTGTTTCCAAATGAGATTACAATCCTTAGTTTGGTCAAAGAATGTGGCACAGTAGGAGCTCTAGAACTAGGCAAGTGGTTACATGCTTGCACATTAAGAAGTGGGTTTACCTTGTCTTTGGTTCTAGCCACAGCTTTTATTGATATGTATGGCAAATGTGGTGACGCTAGGAGTGCAAGATCTGTTTTTGGTAGCTTCAAGAGGAAAGATTTAATGATGTGGAGTGCCATGATTTCAGCTTATGCACAAAACAATTGTATAGATGAGGCCTATGATACCTTTGTTCACATGACTGGTTGTGGAATAAGGCCAAATGAGATAACCATGGTTAGCCTCCTTATGCTATGTGCAAAAGCTGGATCACTTGAAATGGGCAAGTGGATCCATTCATACATAGACAAGCAAGGAATTAAAGCAGATATGATTCTTATAACTTCTTTGGTTGACATGTATGCCAAGTGTGGAGACATAGATGCAGCTCATAGGCTTTTTGATGCAGCCTTGGACCGTGACGTTTCAATGTGGAATGCCATGATATCTGGTTTTGCAATGCATGGTCATGGTGAGTCAGCATTGGAACTCTTGGAAGAAATGGAAGCACTAGGAGTTACCCCTAATGACATCACATTCATTGGAGCTCTTCATGCTTGTAGCCACTCTGGAATGTTGAAAGAAGGGAAGAGGCTGTTTCACAAAATGGTTCATGAATTTGGTTTTGCACCAAAAGTTGAGCACTATGGTTGTATGGTGGATCTTCTTGGTAGAGCTGGATTGCTTGATGAAGCAAAGGAACTAATTGTGAACATGCCTATGAGGCCAAACATGGCTGTGTTGGGATCACTTCTTGCGGCATGCAAGGTTCACAAGAATATCAAACTTGGGGAATGGACAGCAAAGCAGTTTCTCTCATTGGAACCCCACAAGTGTGGATATAATGTTTTGATGTCAAACATATATGCATCAGAAAAAAGATGGGATGATGTTGCATATATAAGGAGAGGTATGAAGGATGAAGGAATTGCTAAGGAACCAGGTGTTAGCTCCTTTGAGGTGAATGGATCATTTCATGAGTTCATAATGGGAGATAGGGAACACCCAGATGCCAAAAAAATTTATGAAATGATTGATGAGATGAGAGAAAAACTGGAAGATGCTGGATACACCCCAGATGTGTCTTCTGTTCTGCTGAACATAGACAATGAGGAGAAAGAAACTGCACTCAACTATCATAGTGAGAAACTGGCAATGGCATATGGATTGATTAGCACAGCTCCTGGTGTTCCAATTAGAATTGTGAAGAATCTTAGAATTTGTGATGATTGTCATAATGCAACCAAGTTACTGTCCAAGATTTATGGGAGGGAAATCATAGTGAGGGACCGCAATCGTTTTCATCAATTTAAGGAAGGATCTTGTTCTTGTAGTGATTATTGGTAGAAAAAACTGTACAAACAGAAGGCGTACATTTGAGTTTTCATATACAATAGGGAACATAAAATTGATCAAACATCATGATAATTAAATTAAAAGCATTCCAAGAGAGGTGACCAACCATTTAACTTCTCCACCCACATTGTAGGTCTTGGCCAAAAGATATTAGTAATTACCAATGTGTAACAACCTGTCCATTTTATTCATATTTCATAGTGTTTTGGTAGAATGTCCAATTTATTCACAATTAGCAAGGTTCACAGCTATAGAAATATTTTCTGTCAACGTACTCCTTCCACAAAATTATGAAACATCGCATGTACGTTCTATTTTTCTTAATAAAAAAATAAGATAATTTGTTAAATTAAAAGTGACAACTATTAAAGAAGTAGGTATTATACGAATATTTTCAAAAAAAAAAATCAATTAAAAAATAAAATTTTAAAATATCTTGTTTCTATAAAAAAATGACACATTTAATTTAATTCAAAAAGAAAATTAAAAATTACTTTTATGTTCTAAATTGAGTTATGTAATTCACGAAACAATTTATAAAACATTTTACACAAATTTTGTATTTGTCTCTCCATTGTATTATTTTATGTTATGTTATACTCTCTTTTAGTTGTATGGGTTATTATGTAAATAACATTTTATATCTTACATATCTAACCTAGATTGTCAACCGTCATTTTCAACATACAGGTTGCTGTGATTCTGGAGGCCATTCACCAAAATTACACAAACGGAGGTTCTTAATAAAGAATTCTTTAATTTATTACCGACACTAGAAAAAAATTAGTTCTAATATACGAGGAGATAAATCAACTTGTTGCTTACTAGATAATCTTGAATAAAATGCGATTTAGCCCCCGACTCAATTCGAATATTCAGCGGCAATTTTCAATTCTCTAGAAATCTTGATTGACAAAGAGTATGTTAATTACATAATCCATCGTAACATTGTGTAGAACTTCATTCATACGGTTAGCAACCCGAGCCAAATTAAACTGCAAAGTCACTTAAGAAGACAAAGCTCTTCCAATGCCTAATTTTTAATCAAGAGGAACCATAGGAACCATGTCCCTTGCCATTTGAATTATCAGGTGATTGTGAGAAAGGTACAAATTTTGATGATAGCATGTCTATATAACAATCGTTGTATTGTATAGAAAGAAAACACAATTTTCAAGTTGAGAAACAACAAATCCGGTTAACCAATATTTGGGCAGACAAAACTTCAGTCAAACATGTGGGGAAGTGGTCTGATAGCCATAAATGCATCCACCATCTGGAAGAAATACGAAGAAAGGGAATATGTAAGCTTTACATCATATACATAAAATACAGGCTTCAACCCTGCTAAGAGAAAAGATAATCAACATGGTATTTCCATAATGTTTCAGCAATACTTTATATAATGTAATTAGCAAGTGAAATGACGACCTAGTTTCCCTGTCTTATTATTTCACTCTTACAGCGTAATCATCTATGCCAAAACATGTATTAGTATTGAATGCATACCTCTTCAGTCACAGAAGCCCGGGCCCTACGATGCCTCTCCACTAGTTCAGTCAAAACTTCAACTAGGCGCTGCTTTACCTCACCTGTTAGCATTCGCCCTTCTCCATATTCCTATGACAGACAAGTTCAAAAAAAAATAAAAATTAAAACAAACCTTATGCTATTTGTATTAAAACAATTTGGGGAAGAAGATAGAAAACAGACCTTCTTGATGTGTTCAAGTTCCACATCATCTTCTAGGAAAAAAGTAAGGTATTTGATTGGTATATCTACCTGAATCATGACACGAAATGTCAAGATTCTTAAGCTATAACTAAAGAAAGACAAAGCAATTTATTAGATAAAAATGGAAGGGGTTTAATCTTTCTTTTTTATTTGATTGGTATTCGCATATATATGCCTGCTTAATCCTTCATTCTATCACTTCAAGATTTTTAGGTGAGAGGAAAAAATTAAACCAATGTAGCATGTTCACATATCTGTTACATGCAAACTAAATTATCCATCAAAATAAAGTGATAAGAATTTCATTACCTCAAGATTTGCCCCTAATTGCCTATGTTTCTCTATAGAATCTTGCCCACCAGAAAATGCATGCTTGTTTACCTGCAGAGGGCCACACATACAGTTTGTGAAAATAACCAAGTGGAAGGAGGAAAATACGAGACAGATGCTGCTCAGAGAAACAAAGAAACGCAGTAGGGGTGCAAAATATTAAGGCCTACTAGTTTTATTAAATGTTTTGTTTTTATTTCTTAATTTTGCAAATAATTACAAAAATACCACCTTGTTTATATTGTTTCCTCCTGTTTTCAAAGATTCTACGTTTCCATTGTTTCCTATAATAAAATGAAAAAAAGATGGAATTTCATACTTATTTGCACAAGCATAGAAAAAACAATATTCTCAAACCAAGCAGGTCCTAATTTGATTATTCAGTAACATAGAGCAAGATTTACTTAGGATTATTAGAAAAAATCCATGCCCCACATTAACTAGAGATAAGGCTAATAAAGATTGTATAAGTGGAGGACAACCTCCACCTTACAAGTTGATTTTGTAATATTTGAGTTAGGTCCAAACTATATTCTAAAATAGTATTAGAGTTATTCTGGATCCATTACCATTTATGCATGCATCAAATCCAATAATGTTGATGTGAGTGGGTGTACTGCCACCCACCATTTATTCGTGCACTAAACCCAATAATGTTGGATGTGGTAGAGTATATTAGAAAAAACCCAAATCTTACATTAACTAGAGATAAGGCTAATGAAGAGGACAACCCTCACTTACAAGTCAGTTTTGTAAAGTTAAGTCTAAATCCACATTCTAAATAGGATATATGTAATATATGGTGATAACTGATAAGTTGGAATGAGTACTTTACTTTCAAGGAAATGAGAAAGAAAACCTTTCAATATCTTGCATATCACACATTGCACGGACACTAGTGTCAACCAGTAAATTTATCATGTCACCCAAAGATTCCTCAACAAAATAATCAATTAGAAAAAGAAGATTCTATTCTACAACTAATTTTTGTCAATTGTCACAATGAAAAAATAAATCTTCAAGAATCAAGTGTAAGCAAAGAATAAAACACAAAAGCTTTAAAGAGAGTAGTTTCAGTAACAAACCTTGTTCTTAATATCTTTCGCAGAATCAGTAACATATATTGCAGAATTGGGATCACTAGCAGACATTTTCCCTGTTTCCCCCTGCAAGCATTTATATTTTAAAGATGTGATAACTCAGCTTCATAGGAAAATACTTTTTTCAGAGAGAAAATTTCAAAGCCTATATATTATTTTCATTGTTTCAAAAAACGAGATTGATTAGAGAGCATGACCCCTTTGAGTATGTACTTGTCTGCGATGATCTCAACACATTAATTAACCCAACCATTTACTGCAAACAACACTGTTAAAGACAGTATTAGAGTAGTTACTCATATGGTAGTTACTCTATTCTGTTGTACTAGACTTGTCCTGAGTCAACCAGGCTGTTACTACAACTGTTGTTAGATAGTTAAGAAGTTACATAGTTGCACAGTTATTTCTATCCATAATTATCAGTCTATAAATGCATATCTGATCTGTATAGCTAATCAGTTAATTCATCTCATTCATTTTTCAGCAATAGAATTCTCTCATTATATTTTTTCATTTTATTTTCCCTCGCTCTTTTGCACAATATTGATAATTATCATGATTTGAGCCTCTGATCAAGGGGTATAGATTGTCATCCTCATCCTTCTAATAAAATGTTAAAATTCAACACAGTAGGTGGCCTGTGCATCATGCATGCATCGAGCTCAATCTCCAAAGGGCTCCAAAACCATTTTATGTGCATCATCCAACAACTTAAGCTTTTGTCCTAGATGATTCATAATAAAAGAAAACAAATTTGACATGATAAAATTAAGAGTTAATTAGATTAGCAGCAAGTAAAATGTTGGTCGATCTCTTAATTTGATAAAGTAGCATGGATTTGCAACATTCTTATACCTGTAATGCAGGGAAGAATAATGATTCAATCAAGGCTGGCTTGTGGCAACCTATTCGAGGAGCAACATCTCGTGTCATTCTAAAATATGGATCCTGAATATATTAGAAGAAAAACTATTAGTTAAGGAAAAAAGGGTTACTTTAAAATGCACATGCATCCTAGACCACATGCAATACTAAGAATAAGAGCTTGCATAGAAAATAATAAAACGTGATATTCACATTCATTTAAGAAATGCCAAATGCTTTTAAGTTGGAATAGATCTTTTTCATGAAGTTTCTCATTGTTTAAATATTTACAGGTATGAAGAGAATTTGGACATAAAAGATATCCCAAAAGCAAAGGAATAAGTTTACAGATACACAGTAGTCAGATCTGGCTGTTGCCACAAGTTAATCTTCATATTTCGTACAAAATCAACTTGCATATAAAAGCATTGAAGACCAACAGACCTGGTCAATCGCACAAGGAATTAAACAACGGAGATTCTCTTTTCCAGAAAATAGGTGAGGAAATGAACTTGGAAATGATGGAACGGCCTGCATAAACAAATGATGCACATGCAATCATTATCATGTAACAATTTCAAAATATGTACTATAATTAATGAATAGGACCAGAAAAAGCAACTTATACAATGCATTTAACCCATACATCACATTTTGTACGTTTGGATCCATTCACAGATGTTTAGAAATGATGTTAAAGTTCCATCATATATATATATATATATACACAACTTATAAAGGACAAACTTTTACAAACTATCATGGACAAAATATGCAATGTAAATGGTAACAGCACTATAGTACCACTATTGCAAGGAATTAATAGTAAACAAAAAATAAAGGCAGGAATCATTCTATGCAGAAAAGAAATGAACCATACCTGCACAGGTGGAAAACTAACTTTTCCAATATGATCTTCCCCGGTGAAACCAAAGATGCCCACAGCCTGGTTATAAGTCACACGCTTTGCAACCTCTAACATGTTCTTGTAGAAGGAACTGGAAAGGAAAATTCTCCTCAAATGACAGAAGATTTGTTTTTTAATTAAAAAAAAGGTTCAGAGTAACAGTAAAAGAAATTGGGAAATTTCCCAAGCAACATTTTATTTAAGAACAATTGAGTAGAAAAAAAAAATCACTCTATTTTCTTTTCGAATTATGAATATGATGTGAATTGTGAAATAGAAACACCAAATTAATTTAAAGAGATATTCATGATTTTTAAATGAGATCCAAAAACATTAACAATGCCCACACATTTAGGGACCATTTGGTATGTAAAATGTATTTACATTCCTTAGAATCTTAAAGTGAGAATCTTAGTTTCCTATGTTTGGTAACTATTTAAAAAAAACAAAAAAAGGTTCCCAGGAATGTAGTTTCCAAGAACCATTTTTATCCCACGTTCCCACAAAAAAATTCCCATTGGAGGGGGTGAGAGTCCAACCTTCCCGAGTTACAGAGAAAGTTTAATGCATATAAAAAGATTATAGTATTTTTTTTTTTAAAACATAAAATCTCTCTCTTTCTCTCTCTCCTATTTCTCTTTCTCTCTCTCTCACTCTCACTTCCCTTCTCTTCCTCTCCATCTCTCCCTCTTTTTCTTTCTCTCTCTCCCCTCCTATTTCTCTTTCTCCCCCTCTCTCACTCTCACTCCCCCTTTCTTCCTCTCTCTCTCTCTCTCTCTCTCTCTCTCTCTCTCTCTCTCTCTCTCTCTCTCTCTTTCTCCCTTTCTCCTTTTATTTCTCTTTCTCTCTCTCTCCCCCTCCCATATCTTTATTTCTCTCTCTCTTCTTGTATTTCATTATTTCTTGACCTTGTCAATTTTAATAATATTAATAAAGCTTATTTTGTTTCTATAGTTTAATGGTATTTGTCAACACTTTATAATTTATTTACTTGAATGAAATGAAATATATATTTTTATCCTTCTTAATTATAATGTAGCATTTTTTCTTTGTTTTTTATGTTAAATTTTGTATTTAAATAAATTTAACTATAAGTTTTCAACTTTTTAAAAATAGTTTAATGTCATATTTGTAATAAGATTTAAGTAAATAAATATATCTGATATGTTTACTTTAATAAAGGATATTTTTGTAAAAAATATTTATATTCCCAAAAATATAGTTGTGTAACCCAAACATGAAAATTTTTAATTCCCGAGAATCTTACATGAATATTCCTAGGAATCTTTATGAATAGCCAAACATATTTTAACTATTCCCTACTATCATGATTCCTAGGATTTATAATTCCCAGGAATCATGATTCTTGGGTATGAAAAAACTTCTCCCTCACCAAACGCCCCCTTTAAGGTGTAGAACTTGAAATTTTTATGGGAAGAATCATCTGGTAAAGAAATTGTGTAAAATGTTCGGCATGAATTTGAGAACTCTTAAATGAATAAGAAAACAACATCCATGAGATTCAACTATTTTTATGAACGCCAAATTTCTAGTAATGTATAAATACACATTCTCATAAAACTCCTGAAAAATTGAATAACAAAAGATTTTACAAAATCAACACATATAACAGGAAAGCATACTCAAAATATACTATCAGGACAAACCTTGATTTTAACTTACCCGCCAACATAACTGAAATCAGCAAATATAAATGTCTTTGAAATGTCAAAACCACAAGCAATTATGTCCTTTGCATTCTCTCTTGCAAGTCTTTGGCTCTCCTCTATAGTAAGATTTTTCCACATGAACTTCTCATCGTCAGTGAGCTGTATAACCAGAGGAACCTTAAATGCATCTTGCAAATACCTACATAATGTTTCCACCATGTCAACAAACATCCCCAGCAAGCACAACAATTTAGAACTCACTTTCAGTTTCAACCTTCACCCAAAATTTAAGCATCTAAATTCAATCCACTATCACCACAAAAGTCTCTAACCTATCATTTGTAAACATCACTACATTACAAAAAGCAAGCCAACACAAATTCCAATAGCTACCACCAACATAGTTCAGGCAACACATCAAATACTGCTTTCTCTCGTTCCAAATGTCGCATTACATAAGAATTTACACTCTTTTTATACTAAACTCATAATTCAATAAATAAAATACCAGACATACAAATTTCCATCAAATTTTTATCTTAAAAAATGAAATGAAGTAAATATACACAACTCAGTCCTGTAAACAAGTCACCAGTGTTAACCAATTTCAATAAACAGAAACTTTGGAGACCAAAACAAGCAATGCACATAACATCTTTCATGTACCAAATTATAAAACTAACTCATAATTAGATAAATAACATACCAGATTTACAAATTTCCATAAACTTCTATTTGAAAAAAAAATAATAATAATAATGAAACGGTGTAAATATAATATACACAATGCAGTTGCAGTTCTAGAAAAAAAAATATCACTAGTGTTGACCAATTTGAATAAACAGAAACTTCTAGAGACCAAAGCAACACAAGTAACATACCAAATTGTGAACTCTTTCAAATTCACTTGTAACTGCAAAAATAACATATTAGTTTCACAAATTGTCATCAAATTTCCATTTATAAAAAACAAAACAGATTAAATACACACAATTCAGTCCTGAAACAAGTCGCTAACGCCGATTCAGATACTAAATTGTGAATTCGCTACTTCAAATTCACTCGTAACTACAAGAATAACATACTAGATTTACAAAATTTACTCAAACTCGGAGTAAACACACACAATTCGTCCTAAAACAAAAGTCGCTAGTGTTACTGTTAATCGATTCAGACACTAAATTGCGAATCTGCAGCACTCGCGCACGATTAAAAAATGATATATAAAATTAGGAGAGAAGAGAAAAAAAAAGAAAAGAAAAAAAAGAGCAAACTCACTTAGTGAACATGAAGGGAATCAAATGTCCCAAATGCAAGGCTTCGGAGGAAGGTCCACGTCCGGTGTACAAGTAGAACTTATCGCCCCTCTCGTAGGCGTCAAGAATATCGGCGAAATCGCTGCGACACAGAAACGACACGTCGTTTTGAGTAACAGATTAAGATAAAGTAGACGAAGAAGAAGAAGAAGAAGAAGAAGAAGAAAAGAAGGTACCGGTGGGCGAAGAAAACGCCGCGTCGGAGGAAAACGTGAGGGAGGCGAGAGGTGAGACGGTGGAGGCGTGAAATGAGAGATTGGTCGAGCCTCTGGCAACCGAAACGGTCGATTAATTTGTCGTAATCGATTTTGCCTTTGGCGGAAACCTCCCATGGATTCACCACTTGTTCAGCTTCCGCTCCCTCTTCCTGCTTCTTCTCACTCTCTGATGTTGTTGCCGCCATTTCTCTCTCTGGAATGTGGAGAAGAGAGAGTGGGAACTAAAACTCAAGTGCCGCAACGTTACTTACTCTGCCGTAGGGTTTTAATCCCAACGATTATCCTTTTTCAAACTCTTTGCTTACTAATTACACTACAGTAAGATTCCATACACCCTCGTAATGGAGTAAAACATTCTCAGACATTTATTTACACTCTGTTTTTTTCATATAAGGGGTGGCGTACGAAATATTAGAAGGTTGAGTCTAGTTAGTTAAAGAGGATATAAGATTTTTTATATTTAATGGATATATTGATCTAAAAAAAATTAAAATTAAAAATAATTACATACCTAAATATTTTCTTTATGTATTACTATAGAGGATAAATATATTTTTTATTTTAAAATTTTTTTGGTACATACCTATATATTTTTTTTGCATATATTTATTTTTAATTTTAAAATTATTATTTTTAGTTTTATAATTTTAAAATATTGTTTTAATTCCTCAAATATTAATAATATATTTAAAAATGATAGATTGAGATAGTTATGTAGTATTGGTTGGATTTAATGTGATATTTTTATTAATAGGGACACTGGTAAGTACATATGATAGATTTTCTAATAAAATTTGAGTATTAAGACTAAAGTTGATGACTAACTTAAGAATTAGAGTATTTTTTTGCAAGTATTCATTACCAAAGACGATAGAGACATGCAAAATGAGGACTATGGGATAAATATGGCAAAAGACAAAATTACTTATGTGCCCTCATGCATGTACATGTTCACGCCCATCGCGGGATCCTATTTTGAAGGCTCATTTTGTTGTGTTTATTTTGCACGGATAAGATTTTGTGAAAGATGGTTACTACAAGGAATGATACTAACTCTGTTCAACCTAAATAGATGTTTGGACCTATGGTTGTGAAAAATCAAATTGATATCTTTGATGTTGTAAGATTACTTTGGAAAAAAATTATAATTATTCATCAAGCTCATGAATGTGATGCTCAAGAGCTTAAACACTCAAAAGAGAAAATGTTGAATTGAGCAGTTTAAATAAAACTTGGATTCCTTCTGGTCAGACTAATAACAAAGCTTCTTATCATGTATCGACGACATCTCAAGTACAAGTTTCCCTAATGCACTTCTTAATCATTCCTGACCAGGCTCCACCTTGATTTGGAATAGTAACTAGGACTTATAAGCACCCTTTTACTTAAAGAATCATAAAGATAGTGTTATCAGATAATTGGAGGAGTCTAGATAAGTATGATAGGTCATCTGATCCTAATGAACATTTGAATGCATACCTTACTCAAGTTACTATGCTAACTCAAGAGGGTATTGCTCTATGTCATATTTTTCCAACATCTCTGAAGGGTCGAGCACTTGGTTGGTTCATTAAGCTTCCTCTAGGATCTATAAATTCATTTGAAGAATTATCATCCTTATTCACTGTACAATTTGCTACTAGTTAGCCACACTGACTAATATCATTGCCACTAACTAATATCAAGTGAGAGAAGAAGGAGTCTCTTAGGTCCTTCATGAATCGCTTTAATAAAATTGCTATGAAAATTAAAATTTTGAACCTTGTAGTTGCTCTGGATAAGTTGAACACTACACTAAAATTGGGGACCGTTTGTAAATAGTTTGTGCAAGAACCCCCCAACGGATATGAATGACTTAAGAAGAAAGGTTGAAAAATATATGCAATGAAAGAATTAGCAAAATCAAGAAATTAAGCAAAAGTGAAAGTTGTTACCAATAAAAAAGAGAATGAAAGAGAATTATACCAAAAATGTAGAAGAGGGGATAATTCTGTGAATTATCATTTAAGAGGGCCTTAGTATACAACTTACATCCCTCTAAATACAAGTAGAGCAAGAATCTTAGAATAGGCACTTGCTTCATAAACTTTAACCATTCCTAGGAGAGCTCATACACCTCCTAGGATGAAGTCGTCAAAGTCATGTTAATATTATCAAAATCATGGTCATTCAACCGAAGCGTGTACAATCTTGAAAGATAAAGTGGAGATCCCATAAAGCAAGGACGATTAAAAAAATTATGTTGATAGATATGCATTTAATAAAGGACAAGAACGTAGGGAGAAAATCATGTGTCAAAAAGGAGAGAACCAAAGAAAAATGAAAAACAAAATAGAGCAAGAACGATCTAGAGAAAAAAGAGGAAAAGGTAATGATAGTTCAAGGGATCAATCGACAAGGGTGATTAACACCATCTCTAAGGGATTCACTAGTGGAGGCGCTACCTCTTTGGCCAAAAAGAGACATTTGAGGGTGGTGAAATCTATGATTGTTGTGGAAGATATAAAAAGAACAAGGATACTAACAATAACTTTTACTGATAAAGATTTCCAAGGAGTAGACCCTGTACAAAATGATCCTATGATTATCAGTGTTGAGATTAACAATTGTATCTTAAAGAAAACCCTACTAGATCAAAAAAGTTTGACTGATATATTATATTGGAATATTTTTAAGCAAATGGGCATACCAAAAGAAAAGTTGAAATACTATAATGAATCTTTAGTAGGCTTCTCGGGTAAACATGTAGCAACAAGGGGAAGCATTGATCTTTACACATGCTTATGCTTCAGCTTTGATCAGCATTAGCAAAACCATCAAGATTATATATATTGTCGTAAACACTAACACTTCATATAATATCCTACTTACAGGACCACTTATAAATGCCCTCAAAGCTATTATCTTTACCCCTCATCTCGTCATGAAATTTGCTATTGAATCTTAAAAGATAATTACGGTGCAAGTGGATCAAAAGACAACAAGAGAATGTTACATGGCAAGCCTAAAAGTAACATCCATTAGAGAAGAAGAAGACAAGGATGTACACACTGTATCAACCATATCTGAAGATGTATCAAGTTTAACGGACCTAGATCCAAGACTGGGAAATGATGACTTCAGAATGGAACCAAATGAGGAAACATTACCATTTCAGTTAAGAGAGGAGTCTAGGCAAAACATTTATATTAAATCTCAACCTAACATGTCTAGTTAAGAACTAATACAAAGAACTCTAAAAACAAATGTTGAATTGTTTGCTTAGATATCTATTGACATGTTTGGAATTGATCCTAACTTTCATTATCATCGATTAGCACTATGTGAAGTTAGCAGAAATACACACAGAAGGAGGGTGTGTTTGTTCTAAGGAAGATTTAAAAAAAAAAAATTTTTTGTAAAGATGCTTCTTTTGCTTTTAATAAAAAGAATGTTCAAGCTTTGTTGAAGACTTGTGCAGGCTAGTCTAACTAAAAAGCTTTTTGCGTCTGATAGAATTGATCGTCTTCTTCAAGAAACAAGTTGAGTAAATTAATTTTCTGCCTGAAAAGGTTTTATCGTCCAAAAAAAATGTTTCTTCAAATATGGTAGACAAGTGTGTTTTCGTCTAACAGATTGTTGAAATGAAGGTAGATGAAAGACGAAGTTTTTAGACAAGTAGTGTTTAAAAAATAGAAATAGATATGAACAAGTTTTTATACTGGTTCAGTCAATCTGAGCTACGTCCAATCTCCTTCAACTGAAAGGTTCCATTAATCACAAAGGATTACAAGTATTCTCAATCACTTCTGGCTCGTCAACCTCACTTGTTGACGCTAGTATTCTTTAACCACTTCTGGTTCTCCAAGTATTCTTGACCACTTATGGTCCGCTAGCTTCACTTACTAGCGCTAGTATTCTCAACCACTTTTGGTTCACAAGTATTCTTTCTACCAGCCTCTTCAGGCTTTACAACAAATAAAGGTGTTGAGTGTGTTTGCAACTCTCACAAAGAGGATAGGGTGTTGAGATTCATGGAGTGGTGAATCAATTAAAACTTGGAGAATGAAGGTTTTGATGATAACAAAGTATGGATTCTGAGAATCAAAGTTGACCAAGGACATCAACAAGTCAAAAACAAAGTCAAGAAGAAAATATGGCTATTATGTTGTGTAATAGGAGTAGCTCATAAGTTGTATTGTCTTGTTGAGCTTATTTTGCATGTGTGTGCTCTGTGCATGGGTTAATCTTTATCTAATCTGACTAAGAGTGAGTATGATGATGAGTTAGAAACTTGAAAAGTTATTTTGAGACATAAAATAGAGTTTTTGAAAACTGACTCAAAGTAATCGATTATCATTAAATATAATCGATTATTCCAGCAACAGGTGAAAAAGATGCCTTGCTGTAATAATCGATTATTTGTGAAATAATTGGTTATCCCAGGAATCACTCTCTGGAATAATCGATTATCCTACAAAATAATCGATTAATTTGTTCTTGGTTGATTTCTAGAAATCATGAAGAACAAAATAATCGATTATCCTTTGAAATAATCGATTATCTGGTTCTGAAAATGTTATAAATAGTTTTCATATTTTGAAACTTCAGAACAACAAAAACAAGAAAATAAAAAGATAGAATAGAGAATCAAAAAGAGAAAAACGTTATTGTGAAGTCTTTGTGACCTTCTTGTAGAGCTTTCTTTGTGAAACCAAGAAGTAAAAACGTTTTAGAAATGCTTTCAGAAAAGATCATCATCATCATCACATTCTTGAAAGAGAAAGATTAAGATTTGCTTCTGAATTCACAGTCTGATCTGTTTAGTTTCCAGGTGAATTCGTTCCTTTAATTCTTTGTGAATAATTGTAAATCTTGAGTAGGTGTCTCAAGTGGTAAGGAATTCTTGTAGTGGGTTTCTGTAAGAGGTACTTTCTTGGGGTCAAGAAATTGGTTATCTTGAATGTAGGAGTGTATGCATGTGTGGTATGCTTGTAAAACTTCTTCATTGAGATAATGGAACAAATCTTGATTAGGTTATGATTGAGGACTGGATGTAGGTCACATATGGAGTGGCTGAACCAGGATAAAAGACTTGTGCAATCTTCTCTTACCCTTATCTTTTACTTTGAGTAATATCTTGGTTGTGTATTAAAGAGAATAATCTTGATTAACATGTTTGTATGCATAACATTGCTTTAAACTGAATCAAAGTGTTGCATATTGATTGCTCTTAACTTTGAAGATTATTAAGGATTAATCAAGAAAGCATATAGGACTCATTTTCATTAACAAGTCTTTAAGGAACTTCTTTGAAAATTCATATTAGAAAAGTTTGAA